CTCTCTCTCTCTCATGGGGAAGGGGTGGGGTGCTGCTACTTAACTGTTTCTAACTGAAACCAACACGTGAAAGGGTAGGAAGGCCCCCAGACCCCTTGCTCCTCTGTGGCGAAAGCTGATGGCTAAGGCCACACACACCTCTACCACCCTAAGCCCAGGCTGGATCATCCGGAAATGGGGAGCCAAGAGAGGAGGACACTTCGAAGCCTTAGTCTCCCAGCACCAGCACACGTGGCTTTGCGCCCTCAAAGGGTGGTGGGAATTTATGGGTAGTCTGCTTCTGGACCAGAGTTCCTGCTGTGAGAGGTTTTCTTTGTTCACTTTAATGGTACACAGGAATTCTCCCCACGCCCCCTCAAAACAGCCACACATCTTTTTAAAATTTGCACCTTTTTTTTCAGGCTGGTTTCCTATGGTGAAGGAGAGGCTAGGAAATGCCCAATAAATCATCTGTCTGTCCTCACTCAATTGAAAGGCAGGAAATGCAGAGAACAGTCCCTTACCTTTTCCACTTTGCATATAACAAGAGCTATCAGGACCCTTAGAAGGGCAGCTGCTCTGACAGGAATATTAATTCTTCAAGGCCACTGGAGTTGTTTCCAGGGACTAGACCCAAGGGGGCAGGCACATTTGGGATGTCGATTGCCTTTGCTACCAGCCCGTTCCATGAGCAACCTTTCTGGGACTTGCTCTGGGAAGTTGGTTCAAGGAGTGTGCAATGTAGGTGGTACAACAGCTAAGTCATGTTCAGGAAGATAATGACCAAGTACAAGGGAATGTCCGAGGAGAGGTTGAAGGTGTGGAGGGGGGGGGAGGAACAGAGAATGCTTCCTGGTGGCCAGCTAAGAGTTCTTGGAAGGATCGTAGGAAGGAGAAGTAGCACTGCTGGAGATGCTGGGGACTCCTGAGAATGGCCCTGAATGGTGGCTGAGAGAGGCAGGAAATCGTGTGACTTACTTGGGGAACAGTGGAAACCCACAGTGTGCGGAAACAGTCAGGGAACAGGCTGGCCATCCCTGCAGCACAGCCTCCACTTGGACTCACCATCAGAGAAACACAGCTACTCCTACAGCTTTCAGGACTAATGTGATCTCCACAGCCGGTTTTCTCCAGAGGTCTTGCAGGGGGTACCCGCTGGGTATTTCACAGCAAAGCTTCCCCAAACCTCTTGTGACAGTTCCCCTCTTGTTTCACACACTAAAACTACTCCTCGATCTCTCCTTTTCTCTCATTCTCTCTCTAGCCATCCCCGCTTAGCCTGCCTCGCCTCTGCCCTGGGGGTCCCCCCGTTGCTCTGGGCTCCTCCTCTTCTGACCTGCCCTGCTCCCCCAAAGCTCTGGCACCTGCCATTCAGGACAGGCGAGCCTCTCCTTAGGGAATTAGAGGCCCTTTTCTCCCCCTGACTAGCCCGCTGGCTAGCTTGGGGCTACAATCCTCCATCTGGCTCTTGCTTCTGGAACAATCTGGGGCAGGGTGGGGGACGGGGAATGAGGGTCTGCTCTGCAAGGAGGGAGGGTGCAGAGGTAGGAGGCCACTGGTTCCTGGAGCAGCCTGAGCAAGGCTCTGGGAAGAAAAAACTCCAAAGGAAGATAGGAAAGTCAAACCAAAAGGTGGCGCAGGGTCTGGAAAGACTTTCAAGTTTGAGGTCTGTCCGCCTTACAGACTGGGAGCCATGAGCCTGAGTCCGTTCTGTTTACACAGCTCCCCTAGGCCCTAGCACGGCACTAAACACATGCTGATACTCGGTATACACCTCCTGAATAAATGAACGTGAGCATGAAAGGATGAGTGTGTGAGTGAGGAACCCAGCAATGCCCCAGCCAAAGTCATGGGACCCTCTGCAACACCACGGCAGGTGAGGGGGTTCAGAGTATGCTACCCCAAAATATGGCACCTTGGCATATTGAATACTTTAAGCTGAAGGAGACTGAGAAAATGGCAGAAGCAGGAATATCACTGTGTTCTCTTACCCCTCACCCTGCCCCTCACCAACACTGTTCCCATGAAATGGGTCATAAGACCCTCATTTAAAGGGTGCCCTTCCTATACCTGGAGGTATCTTATCTCCAAAGACAAAGGGACAAGAGGAACCTTAATAAAGAGGCTTTGCTAAGCTCCCCCAGGTTACTACACTTGCCTCATATTCCTTAAGCTATCACATTCCTCCACGACTGCCCACTCCTGATCAAACAGAGCCTACAAATACTCAGATCCGACAGTTTCTCCAGGCCTCCATTTCCTTGGGAAGGTTCCCACATCACATACAACCTACCTTAAACAAATATGTATGCTTTTCTCATACTAAACTGTCTTTATCAGTTTAATTTTCAGACCTAGCCAGGGACCCCAAGAGGGTTGAGGAAAACTTTCACCTTCCATATACGGGTCAATGAACAGATGTGCCAGGATTCACCTGCACAGCTGTCTGTGAAGGTGGCAATTCTAGCAGGTGAAAAGGAGGGAGCCTCACTCCACCACGGTCCCCCATGCTTGTCTCCCATCTGCCCTGCACTGGTTCACACTTGGGTGGAATCACAGACAGTGTGGGAAATGCCCAGGGAGACCTTGAGTCCCCCTCCCACTAGATGGACCAGGAGACCCTGGCTACTTCAGGGTGTGACTCACCCACTTCCCTAGAGGACCAGTGTCGGGGGGGCTTTCCCTGCAATATCTGCTTCGTGGACTAGATGTCAAGTCTTAATGTGTTATCCTTCCAGAAATACTTTAATTGTAAAAAAAGACCGTGCTGAGTGGATAACATTTAACACAGGAGAAGGGAAGGAGAGAAAGGGAACCAACACGCATTGATTCTCCATCGTGAGCTAGTCACTGTGCTAATGTTCTTAAGAATTTTTTTAATTTTTTTTTTTAATTTATTTTTGAGACAGAGAGAGACAGAGCATGAGCAGGGAAGGAGCGGAGAGAGAAGGAGACACAGAATCTGAAGCAGGCTCAAGGTTCTGAGCTGTCGGCACAGAGCCCCACGTGGGGCTTGAATTCGTCAACTGCAAGATCATGACCGGAGCCGAAGTCGGATGCTCAGCCGACTGAGCCACCCAGGCGCCCCTTGCGAATATTTTTTAAAATTTGTTCTAATACCTCTACTGCTATTCATTCAGCAATTGCTTCTTGAGCACCTACTATGTTCCAGACATGTTCTAGGCATGGGGAAAAAGCAGGGAATGAAACAGACAAAAATCCTGTCCTTATCACACATGCTAGTAGAGAAAGGAGAAAATGAAAAGAATGCATAGTATATTAGAAGGTGATTGATGCTATGGGGAAAAATAAAGCAGGGAAGGAAGGCAGGAAATGCCAGCAATGGGTAGGGTGGTGGGAGGGTTGCAATTTAAAAATCAGGTGGTCAGGGAAGGCACCACGGAGAAAGTGACATTTAAGCATAGACTTGAAGAGGGTAGGGAAAGAGCGTGTCCACATCTGGAGGGGAACATTCCAGGTGTAGGAACCACCTGACAGGGAATGGTCCTGCAGCAAGAATGTGCATGGTCTATTCCAGGCACAGCAAGATCAGTCTGCTAGGTAAAACACTAAGCCCACTCTCTAAACATGGAGAGAACTGGCTCTTCTTGGTGGCTCACAAGGTTAATTCATCTTGCTGAGGAGGTCAAGGTCACAGGCACGGGATATATTTGTTTCCTAACAAAAGTCATTTTGCAAAAACAGAAGAGTAGGTCACAAGAGAGTATATTAATTATCACAACTCTGCCCTTCATCCTCATCTGGAGCCCAATACCGCTGCTGTTTGCACTTAGACAAATCACACTATTTGAGTTTCAATTTTCCTTTCTGCAAAGTAGGGGATAACATTTAATAACACCCACTCCAAGAGATTGGGTTAATATATTGTATAAAGCATTTTGTAAACTGTGACGTGCTGTAGCAATTGTTTGTTGTTGTTATTTTTATACCATAACAGCAACTCAGGGTCTATGCCCAACTGAGGTTGGGTCTGTAAAGCCATTTTCATAGGCAAAGATAACTTCTTAGTTCTATTTCCTGGGTTGCAAAAGTATTTTTACTTAGGTATTACAGTAATCTTTCCATTTGGGGGTGGGAAAAGATTTCTTGAGGCTCTCACCGTCCCCTCTGAACTTTGGCTGGATCTGTTAGACCATTTCCCAAACCTGAGTTAATCCTACGATCCCCACCCTTACCCCCTCACCACTTTGGCTTCGGTCTCCTAGCTTTGTGGAGACTTGTGTGTCTGTGCCTATGGTCTCTATCACTAAATCCCACGGTGTGACCGCGACTGGGCTCTCAGTGTTGCCAAACCATTTTCATCCTTCGGTTAAGCCCTTGTTTGCTTCCTGCGGTGAGAGTTTAGAATCCTAGTCCCCAACCCCACGGCCCCTCCCCTCACTCTGGGCAGATGGCCGGCCTGCAGCTGCAGGATGAGGTTCAAGTTCAATAACACGGGCTCCTCCCTGCCTGGGCATTCCTTACCAGACCTCAGTCTCCCCTTTACTCCACCCATCTTCTCTAGATCCAGAGCCAACACCATCTTCCTGTAGAGGGGATGATTTCTTCTTGTGCTGATGGCTCTATCACAGTTTCTATAGAAATAATTAGAACTTAGGAACAAGGAAGCTGATTGCTATATTATTTACTATAAAAACTGAGAAGCAACTCTTTGTCCAACAAATGGGGATTGATTAAACTGATAATGGGTACAGCCATGAGATGGCAAGGAAAACTGTAAACGGTATGTCTCAATTTTGCTAAAAGCCAAATAAAACTGGCAACAATAAACACAAATTACACGTGCATATGGAAAAAAAAAAGACTGGAGGGAAATATACAAAAATATAAACAATGATTATCTTCAGGCAATGAAATTATGAGTGATTTTTACTTTTAGTATTTTACTATATTCTGAAATGTCTACTGTAAGCACGCAGTATTTTTATAATTAGAACGGAAAGCAAAAATATTATTAACACCTCTCTGTAAAAGCTGTGGGTGATTCAGTTCTTTTCCCTTTAAATGGAGACTTTCCCGGGTGGGGTCTGGTGGACAGCTGTACAGTAACTCTCGTTACATGTAAGGCCTAGAAGAAAACCATAACCAATTAACATTACAGCGGGAGCTGAGGCATGCAGAATGGAAATGCCTCAATGGAAATGTGTTATTACTAATTTTTTTCCCCATTGTTGGACAGGTGTTTAGAGGAATGTGTTAAATTATCTTCAGATAATTTATTTTTTAAATGCTATGGTTATTCCGTTTTTCTGCCTCTGTTGTCATGGGAACCTTTGATATGGGGAAGGATTCAGTGTGGATATTTCATTGTAAGTCTGTTTAATCTATTTACCTGAGGCCCTACTGTGTGCCGTCACTGGTGATACAAGGGGTGATCTGCAAGTGCCTTACACCAGGGGCTTTGGAAACATTTGGGGGTGATTAGGATCATCCAGATGATTGGAGGAAAGTGCTACTGATTTAGTGGGTGAGGGCCAGGATTGCTAAACATTCTACACTATCTGGGACAGTTGTACGTAACCAAGAATGGACCTTCGTCTCAAACACTGAACTGAAAAGTTGAGGCAGGCAATGCCTGGAAGGGCCAGAGAGAAAGGAGGGCATGGCTGATTCTCAGCCTTGTCATGCTAGTATTCAGGGTGACCAGATCTCCCAGGTTTTCCAGTGGAGCCAGAAATGTAGATGATGATGTAAAATCTCCCGATTTTTAAAAAACACTGCATGGGCCAAACAAAACACATCTGTGGGCCAGATTTGGTCCTCTGGTTGCCAATTTGCAACCATGTCTTAGGGGGAAAGACACAGTCCCTGTCTTCGTGAGAGTATAAGGGAGCCTGTAGAAGATCAAGTTCAAGTTCTAGAATGGACCAACCTAGGTTCAAATCACAGCTCTGTCATTCACTGCATAGACGATGATTTCAGGCAAGTGAACATCCTCTGAACCTTACTGTCTTCCATGAAATGGAACTAATGGGAACACTCACTGGTTTGTTACGAAGATGAATCCAGGTGGGAGAAGTCCCCAGTAACCTACACATTCGCTTAATAAAGTAGAGCCATTATCATTGTTAAGGCCATCACAGTCTAGTATAAGAACTTACTGTGTACGCTACACTGTGCTAGGTGCTGAGGGCTTATAAATAAGTGTGAGAGAAAGCCCTTGACCTGGACGTGTTTTCCTTCTGGGAAAAGAGATAAACCTGGGACATAAATATTGTTAAGCGCATCTGGTATATGAATGTGGCTCACATCAGACCATTACAGGAGACCAGAGGCAGGTACGTCTTATGAAGGTGGTGGCGGCTGGGGGCGTTGGAGTCCACCCAGAATGAGAGGGAGGGGAGAAGTGGCCTAGGCAAAAGACAGATTATAGAATCATAGTAAGAACTGAGTGCTTACCACATGCCCAGTACTCTCTAAGCACTCTGCCAGGTGGTAAGTGTGCTCCTTTGGCCTCATACGTATGAGGGATAAGGCATGTGCCTGGGAAGGTCCCCCGGAGCCAGGGCATGGGGGTGCTGACTACCGGGCCAGAGCCTGGCAGAGTATTTAATTTGTTGGCAGGGGAGCAGAAGCAGAGAAGTGACAGGCAGGACCAGTAATCTGGGGTGGAGCACAGGATGGCATGGAAGTGGAGGTGAGATAGCAGACTTGTGCCGAGGCCACGCGTGGGGGACTTCTCCCACCTGGATTCATCTTCGTAACAAACCAGTGAGTGTTCCCATTAGTTCCATTTCATGGAGGACAGTAAGGTTCAGAGGATGTTCACTTGCCTGAAATCATCGTCTATGTAGTGAATGACAGAGCTGTGATTTGAACCCAGGGGATGGGTGGGGAGCCCTGTGAAGGTTTCTTTACCAGGTCTGGCGGGTGGTGGGGGATGCTGTCAAAAATGATTGCCTGGGAGATAACGGGAATTTTATAAAGACAATTTTAAACTCCGGTCTTGAGCCACCTCCATGCTCTCCTGCCTCTCTTTCCTCACCCTCCACCAGCTTGTCAGTGTTCTCTACTGGCCAGTCCTCATGGTTATAAATACTTTCTCCTTAACTATTTTTGAAAATTTTGGAAGCAACTCCTTCCCTCACCAATGTGCTGTTATTTTCAAATCTCCACAGAAAGCCTGTACCGACCCCCACCCTCCCACCCTTGCCTCTCTAGAAAACAGATCACTGCTGGGGTTGATGGATTGGGTACAGCAAAGCTTTCAGACTTCTGACCCACCAGGGATGGCTGATATAAAATCCCATGCTGCATGTGAAGGAAGAGTGTGTTTAGTAAATTCTGTAGAACAGTTGTTTTTTTTTTTTCTTTTTTTTTTTTCAGGGGGGAATTGTGAATCCACTAAAAAACAAACGGTTTCCAAGTACTCCAACCATTTGCATTTCAACAGGCAAAATGGTGTTTAAACTCAAGGCCCATCTTTTTTTCAAAGTAGACCAAGCCATACCTCTCTAGGGAAGACTATTTTAGCTGTGATTCTGATTTGTTCTATAGGATGGAGAGCAGTAAGATCATTTTGTTGGGGATGTTTGATGCCTGAGCTTCTTTAAACCATAACCAAAATCAGTCCAAAACGGTGCAGTTTGGCTACAAGGCATTTTTAGCACAAACAGCTTGCACCAGTAAAGAACTATGACACAACAGAGCGGACCAGTGTTTTCATAGACTGACTTATAGAGGCAAGTTTCCTGTCTCTGGAGGTGACCAAACATCATGCGATAGCACTAGGATTGTGCCATGGTGTCCCCCCAGGAATCAGTAACAAAGAAATACCTAGCAGACTTTTTTCTTTCTTTCTTCTAGAGCCTTCTATACAAGTATATCCAGCGCCTGGCCTAAGCACCAGATGTGAGCTAACAATCCTGTGGTTACCTGGCCCTGTGATTTGGCACAAATCACTTCTCATCAGGTTAGACTCAAAGAAATCTGAGCAGGCTCCTGGGTTCAAACATTCTATGACTTATAGACAGAGACACAAAAACCAAGACCTTTCCAAGTCCAACTCAGAGCCTTGGAATTAGGATTGTCCTGCTGAGGAGTGCGAACAGACAGCTGGAAGCATATCTAGTGGCTTTTGCAGAACCTGACATGGCCCTGGGCTCAAGACTCTCAGCTCCCACTGATTCGTGGTGCTGGAAATTGTCAGCCTCAAGTCTCGCCCTAGGGATTTGAATCTCCAACCCAGTTCAGGGGTCCTGTAATCAAATGCAAATTATGCCTTTAAGCCCCGAAGGGATGGGAGGAGGGATTAGCTGACAACCCTGGGAGCTGCTGCCTAAGGCCCTTGGGAGTGACAGCCCCCCACAGGGGGAGGTCAGGAGGGAAAGAACGGAAAAGGGAGAGAGCTCAGGAGGGGTCAGGGGCCTCTGGCAGCCCCCACTTCATCCTCAGTGTGCCCCCGAACACACGGCCCTGGGTGGGGGTCTAATCTCCAGGCAGCCCGCCCTCGGCATTGTCTTGCCAGGGTCAGGACCCCCACCCCATGAGTCACTGGCCTCACTCTGGCCCCTCAGCCTCCATGCTCTCAGTGCTAACCCGCAATTCTCCAGGCCAAGGGCCCAGATACATCCGATCTATCCTACTCCTCTCTAGGCTCAGAGAAATCGGGACTGAACACAAAGAGGGGGGGGGGCGCCCTGATGGGGCCACAGCTTGGTGAAGAGGGGTGCACAGAGAGTGGCAGAGCCAGCTTGGAACCAGCTCTCCAAGAGTAAACCAAATTGCTCTCCTCCCTGACCCACAACGCTTTCCAATCAGGGAGTCTAAAATTACCATATTTACAGCATCTGCAGCCAAGCCGAGCACTAAACAAGATGAATAGCTGTGACGCACGATCTGAGTGGAAGTATGCAGCAGGGCTGGGCTGGGCTGGGTTGGGCAGCAGGGTGCGTGCCCCAGAGGGGAGAACAGGCGGTCCCTGGCTGGGGGACAGGATTCACCCAGCACCAAACCCAAAAGAAGGTGGGAGATAGAGCGATTGACAGAGAGACAGAGAGAATTTGAGGACATGATGCTGACTTTACAAATCTCCTTTTCCTCCTTCTGCCTCTCAAAGACAGGATCGCTGGGGTCTTGCTTACAGTGGGACAGCCATGTCTGTGAGTCCTCTTCCCAAGCAGCCTTTTCCAGGGAATCTGTGGTCAACCCACATAGATTAAATGACTCCATTCATAGAGAAGGCCCAAGAACCTGGGCCATGCAGCTCTGGTAGAGACCAAGGTGGGAACGGTGGGAACATGTTCTGTGTAGTGGTGTTCCAACACTCTGCACCAGCCTGGCCTGTTCTTTCCCTGGAAGGGAAAATGCCCAGGAAAAGAGAGTGACTCATGACCTGCAGACGCTCTCTCCAGACCCAAATACAACAGAGACCTGGGAAGACATGGGAAGACAACAGAGACCTGGGAAGACTTTCAGATCAGTGTGGATTCTCCTGCATCAGAGACTCACCGCAGATCCCCTGGAATGCTGGGACTCTGAGTGACAGGATTGCTAGACCCCTACATTCTTCCCTTTAGCTAGAGCATATCCTCTTTTGTCTGTTTTGTGTCCTGGGCTTCTCTTTACATTCTCATTTCATTTCTGCAACATTTTCAGAGCCTAAAATAAGTGTGGAAATCACTGGTTTGTGCTAGAGGGCAGGAAGTAGAAGGTAGTAGTACATAGGTGGCATGAAAGAAGGGAAAATGAGGTGTCTGTAGAAACAGTTTTGGATGTGTCAGGGAATGCTAAGAAAAAGAGGTTAGGATTGAGGGAAGGTTAAGATCAGCACTAACATGTGAACCAGCTCCCAGAGGAAAGCCTCTTCCTTGAGAAATCTGGAACCAGCTGCCATTTGCAATAACCCTGCTGGAACCTGAACCCAGACCCACAGTGGGGGCCATTTGTTAAGCAACTGCCTAGTCCTTATGAGCCATTTTTGGTAGGAGGTGATAAGAGGAAGGGTTTGCCAGTGTTTGAGTTGTGGCTGCCCACTCAAAAAATGTTTCCAAGCTGATAACATTCTCAAATAGGCACACCACTCAGCACATGACTAAATCTGGCCCCACCCCCAGGGTCTCTTAGATG